CAACAAATTAAATCCGGAGCATACCCAACTACTCGAAGCACTTTTCATATCACAAAAATAAGCGTTTAACGAATTCAGTTTGCCATCTGGACAACTTTGTATTGTTTAACGCAATTCTCTATGCCAAAAAACTACCTAATGAGGATTGACGCGCCATCTATACTTGAGCAACATTTCAGTGTAGATTAATCTTAATCGCATTTATTGAGAGTATTAAGGTGTCTACCTACAGTTCAGCATAAATCAATCCTTCCCCCCATTAAAGTCTTAAGGCACCTATCAATCATGTCTACAGTAAAACATGGCACAATTTCAACAAATGGGTGCGGAAGGATCTTTAGGCTATGTTTGATTCGATGAAATTACCATTTGTTGGTCAATGAATGAAAACAAGATAAAATGAAGTGCTTGACACTCAAGGAAAAAGGTGAGAAATGTTGCTTGTTTTCCATTTTAGATCTTGAAATGTTGATAGGAATAGCCATTACTACCCTCTCCAAGGGTTTTAATATATCATTCCTATCTCATTCACTAATTTAAAAGAAAATATCCAACCTTATTCTTATCTTCTAGATTTTGAAATACCCTTATTTATTTTGCCTTATTTTTACATATTAAACAAGGAATAGTCATTCCATCCAACTGAACATAATCTTAGTTTCTGAAACAATATATGGAAGAAAAAAAAACAATTGCACTCCAGTTAATTGTTGTTAAGATGTGAACACAATAATTTAAATTATATTCATATTTATTGTAAATATTTTATACCTTAGAATATTCTCTTTATATACTTTATACTTCAAAATATTCTCTTTGTAAACACCTATATATAAGTAATTGGACATACAGTATCATTCAAGAAAGTAATAAACTTTTCTTCAAATATTTCTCCTTCCTTTTCAATTTCTAACATGGTATTAGAGCTATAAGCTCCTGGTTCTTCTTTCATCACTGCTTGGTTATTGGGTTGGATTTTCAGATCTATTCCAAATCTGAAACTTTGTCGTCAGGTTCTCTTCTTCTACATATTGGATTGTTTATTGTTAATTCTCATGCCTTTTTTGAGGTATCTTATTGAGTTGTAATTTCGATCTTGGCATCTATTTCTTCATACTTTTAGAAACTTTTTCAGTATTGTGAGTTCTACTGATTCTATGGCGAGTTTTAAAAGAACTGTAACTCATCTTGCTATTGCAATGGTTGCCAAAGAGGTGATAGACCAACCTATTGTCAACCTTGAATCTCTAAAACAAATGATATTAAATATTCTTAATGCTCCTACTACCTTATCTGCTGCGCCAGGTACTAAACCTTGGTATTTTGATTCTGGTTGTTGTAATCACATGTCTTCAACTACTACTTATTTTTCTTCAGTGTCACCAAATAATTCCTTTTCTAACATTTATTCTGCTGATGGCTCCCCTATAAATGTTAGTCACATCGGCAATATTTCTACAAACTCATTGACTTTACCAAATGCTTTCTTGGTTCCAAAACTTAGTTATAATCTCTTATCTATTGGTCAGTTATATGATCTTGGTCTTGCAATAACTTTTTCTACTAATGGTTGTCATGTGCAGGACCTATAGACGGGACAACTTCTTGGAACTGGTCGCAAGGTGGGGCATCTATTTGAGCTCAATTATCTACATATACCTAATCATAAAATGGATACACCATCATTTCCAAATGACCAATTCATCCAAACCCTACTTTGTACTACTGAATTAGAGTCTTTGCAAATTCTATATCAACAAATCTTCCAAGCCTATGTTGCTACTAATATTTCTCCTCTTCACTTATGGCACTCATGGCTCGGACACACCTCAATCAGTAAACTCCGTCCTCTTATTTCTCGTGGTTTATTAGGATCTGTTCCAAATGAATCTTTACATTGTGTGTCATGTCAATCTGCAAAACAACCAACTTTATCATTTACTAGTAGTCATTCTCTTTCTGTTGCTTCTTTTGATCTCGTGCATTTTGATATTTGGGGTCCATCTCTGACACCTACCATGGGGGGTTCCAGGTATTTTGTGTTATGTATTGATGATCATACTCGTTTTACCTGGATATATCTTATGAAAAATCGCTCTGAGTTGTCACAAATTTATATTGATTTTGCTATCATGGTCAAAACCTAGTTCTCTAAAATTATCAAAGTTTTGAGAACTGACAATGCCACGGCATATCTTAGTACTAAACTTCAATCCTTTTTGAAAGAACATGGCACACTGGCACAACAATCTTGTCCTTAACACTTCTGAACAAAATGGGTGAGCCGAACATAAACACAGACACATCCTTGATTTTGTTCATGCTTTGCTCATTTTGTCTTCTTGTCTAGAGCGATTTTGGGGTGAAGCTGCTCTTACAACTGTTTATCTCATTAATCGAATTCCATCATCAATCATCAATAATAAGTCTCCATATGAATGTTTGCGTGGTATTCTTCTTGCCTATGATCTTCTTAAGGTTTTTGGTTGTGCTTGTTTTGTTCTTCTTCCACCTCATGAACATAATAAGTTAGAGCCTAAAGCTTGATTATGTTGTTTTTTGGGTTATGAGATTACACATAAAGGATATCGTTGTTGGGATCCTGTATCACAAAAACTTCGAGTCTCACGTCATGTTGTCTTTTGGGAGCACACTATGTTTTTCTCATTATCAAACTTCCAGGTGTCATCTTTTGATCAACCTCCACTTTTTACTAACCCTTCTATTGAGCTATTTCCCAGTGACTCTAATGTAGATACATTTGATGAGCTCCATGATGCCTCTCCACATGCTCCACCTAGTTCTATCGAAGATGTTCAGCCTGTTGGTAATGTATTAGACAATGTTGAGTCTTCTTCCCATACCTCTTCTGTATCACCTATTGGATTTAACGTTGTTGATCTTGAGCTTGAAAATGAGATCCTTAATCCACCTTTAAGTCATCCTACTCGGGTAAGAAATCCTCCTGGCTATCTTTGTGATTATCATTGCTTTCTTATTATTACCTCCTTACACGAGCCTCAATCTTACCAAGAGGCCTCTTCTAACCTTCTTTGGCAGCAAGCTATGCAAGATGAATTACAAGCTCTTGACAAAACTTGTACATGGGATTTGGTTGATCTTCTTGCTGGAAAGCCTCTAGTAGGTTGTAAATGGGTGTACAAGATCAAAACTCGGTCCAATGGTTCCGTGGAGTGTTACAAGGCTCGTTTGGTTGCTAAAGGATTTACTCAGGAATATGGGATTGATTATGAGGAAACCTTTGCACCTGTTGCTCGTCCTACTTCAATTCGTAGTTTGATTACTATTGCTGTTGTAAAAAGATGGAAATTGTTTTAGATGGATGTGAAAAATGCCTTTCTAAATGGTGATCTTGCAGAGGAAGTTTACATGAAACCACCTCTTGGACTTGAGCATCCTCCAAACAAAGTTGCCAATTGAAGCAAGCTCTGTATGGTTTGAAACTAGCACCTTGAGCCTGGTTTGCGAAGTTTAGTATGACCATTGGTGAATTTGGTTTTACTTCTAGTTCCCATGATACTGCACTGTTCATATGCAAGACTAATCATGGTATGATTTTACTACTTTTTTATGTTGATGATATGATCATTATTGTGGATGATATTTCAGGTATTTATGATCTTAAGCAATTTCTTAGTCATAAGTTTGAGAGGAAAGATCTTGGTGTTTTGAGCTATTTCTTGGGCCTTGAGATCACCTCTTCTGATGATGGTTATCTTCTCTCTCAAACAAAATATGCTTCTGATCTTGTATCTAAAGCTAGAGTCACTGACAGTAAGAGTGCATCTACTCCTCTAAGCCCAATGTTCGACTTACATCCATGGATAGTTCTCCATTAGCTGATCCTACTCGCTACAGATAGTTGGTTGGAAGTTTGATTTATCTCACTACAACACGACCAGACATAGCTTATGTAGTTCATGTTGTTAGTCAATTTATGGCTACGCCTCGCTCCATTCACTATGCAGCAGTACTTTGCATTATTCAGTATATTAAAGGTACCGTGTTTCATGGACTTCACTTTTTTGCTCATTCATCTCTTAAACTTCATGCTTACTTTGATGTTGATTGGGCTGGAGACTCTAATGATCATAAATCCACCATAGGATATTGTCTTTTCCTTGTTGATTCCTTAATCTCTTGGCGTAGCAAGAAGCATACAATTCCATCATGTTCTAGCACTTGGAGACACCACATTAGAGTTACTTAATTTACATTAGCTACCAGAAGATATGGGTGTTTCTCAACCGCCTACTACTAATCTTTATTATGACAATCAGAGTGCCATGCAAATTACTCATAATGATGTCTTCCATGAACACACTAAAAACATTGAGGTTAACTGTCACTTTGTTTGTTATCATGTTGCACAAGGAACTATCCATTTGGTTTTTATTGGCTCTACTGATCAACCAGCAGACCTTTTCACTAAGGCTCATTTTCCTAGATGCTTTCGTACTCTTCTTTCCAAACTCAAGTTGGTTTCATCACAACCACCTTGAGTTTGAGGGTGGATGTTAAGATATAAAGATGTAAACACAATAATTTAAATTATATTCACATTTATTGTAAATATTTTATGTCTTAGAATATTCTCTTTATATACTTTATATCTCATAATATTCTCTTTTTAAACACCTATATATAAGTCATCGTACATACGGTGTCATTTAAGAAAGTAATAAACTTTTCTTCAAATATTTCTTCTTTGTTCTCAATTTCTAACAATTGTGTTAATTGCTATATAGCTTTTATAGGGAAAATCAATGTAATGGCTAAGATGGAGCATTTTGTATTATAGTCTTA